ATACATTTATGCAGATTTTTCATTATTTAATTTCTTCAAATATAATGCAGGACTCTAACATTGGGCGGCAACAGTTTGAAAAGTGAAACGGAGATTTATAGTAAACCAACGCAAAATCACAAAACGAAAACTATAGTCCTTCACGGACAAAGCCACTTTGAACTAAAAATGTATTCATATAAAGGTTAGAATTACACTGTTCTTATTTAGTCAACGTAAGACAATTACTAACACTATAGATTTTAAATTTATGCAAAAGGAGGTTGAAATTTCTGTGTCCTTGAACTGAATTTATAACATGAAGCTACAGTATTCATTCTAATCTCTAAACTTTTACAGAAACTACAAGGCTCTTTTCATAGAAAAAAATACATTCTTTGTATATATACATGGAATTGATTATTAAAATTTTTGATTTTTATTAATAAACGCTATAACTTGTTTTAATATTCTAAAGAGGCAAATAATGTATTACATACTTTTGCCATAATTTAAATTTAATTAAATGAAGCAGTCTGTTTTTTAAATTAAATGTACTGTCTCTTAAGGTTTTTCTACGCTTCCGCTGAGTTCACAGTCTACCAGTGTATTGCTGCACTCACTAATACTAACAGATTTCGTTTTGTCTCTTTCACTTTATTATGTCGTCAGTGCGAAGAAATACATTCTTTAGCATGTGTTTCTTCGCATTGACGGCATATAAAATTTAACAGCAAAATTACAAAACTTAAAAAAGCGGCATTATATTTAGAATTTCTAATACAGAGTCAAAAGTTGGTACAAAAACAGTTTTTTACTTTTTTCTGTTCAGTATTTTCTCAGTTCCTCCTATTAGTTCAAGTTTTCTTAGAAAGATGACTTGCAAAAAAAAAAAAAAAAAAAAAAAAAAAAAAAAAAAAAAATTTAGTTTTCTTATTAACGTTTTCTGTGTTAAATTTATTAATTAAATATCATGTTATGCCACACTGATGCCACATAAATTTAAGTTTAACAGCAAAATCACAAAACATTTAAACATAGCATCATTTAAGAATTTCCAATAAAGATTCCCGCGCTGGAAACAAAAATGTTTCATATCGTACAATGTTGCAAATATATGCTTTCAAATCGTTGAGTTTGTTAATTAAACATTCATTACAAACTATGAAATATAAAGCTCGGAATTTAAATTTCGGGTTTCCAGGTGCAAGCTTTCGGGTGGAGGACTACGTTATTTAAAATTTGATAGCCCTAGATGACGTCGCTTTTCACAATGCTGGGAACATACATATATGCAATATTTCTTTAAAAGTCATATTTGGTGGTGATCAGGGCGGTAATATTTGGTGGCAATACTTTGAAAAGTGAAGAAGCTATTTACAGTGGATGACAAAATCGCGTTTCAAGATTAACTGCCCATTTGGGATAACGCACGTTTTGGCTAATAAAAATAAAAACAAAATTACGAGATGAAAAATGGAAAAGAAAGAAAATAAAATCATAGGCAATTTCTATTATGCATATTATTAGGTATAGTTCATGGCATGTTAAATATTCCTGGGCGTGAAATTCCGGAAACCGAATATTTTTTTAGATAGTTAAAAGTCCAAAAAAGTACAAACTTTCAAATTTGAGTACTCAGTTTATTAACAGACAGTTGGAGATATAAAACTAAATACAGCATGCAAGCTAATTTTTATTTTTTAAGCAAAGTGTTATAAAAGTATTATTAAAGAAATATTTGGGTGATATCGAGAATATAAATATATATTCAAAATACAGTTTTCGAGAACATCGCCTAACTTTTGTAATAGATTCTAGTATTCGCATTAAATGCATTTTAAGAAATTCCAGAAAAATATACAATGATCGCCACCATCTGAATGAGTATTACTGTTTTAAAATGTGTTGTTTATACAAGTGCCCACTCATCGATTTATCTACGCTTTTTCTGCATTTTAATAGGCTGTGATGAACTTTGTCACTGTTCTTAAAAGGACTTAAGGAATCTCCTCCTTTTGTCTCTCTGTTACAATTTACGAGGGATATAGATTTGTCCTACGATGTAGAAAGAGAACATTTCTGAAGAAATTTGAATCCTTTCAAAGAAAAAAAAAAGTTCCTGAAACACTTTTGTACTACAGCCAGGAAAAAGGAACGTTTCCATAAAAAATAATAAAAAAAACATATAGCACTTTAAGATAAATGTTCCATATGCCGCAGGGATGGCATTGCACTTATGCTTTATCGGTAGCCTTAGACACCCACTGGCGAATGTGACCCTTGGGCAAAACCGCAGTAAATTTTATTTGTTTCAGCCCAAGAATAGTCTCTTCTTTGCCGATTCCGATAAGATTTACAGCAAAATATCTGGGTGTTCGATGGGCTGTTGCCAACAAGAGATTTGGATCTGGTTTGTAATGTCCATCTGTCCTGATGGAAATCGGTCTAGTAAATGATTTTCTTGAAATGTTTCCATCTTAGTTTTAACCTTCTTGCTCAGAGGGGATTTGTTGAAATCGACTTGGTTATTCAGTGCGCAGCTTTTATTCTCTTTTGCGCTTTAAAACTTAATTCAGTTGTTTGTTCCGATTGTTCTCTTTTTTTGAATTCCTCCCATCCTAATAATAGCTGTGCCTATTCATTTTTCAAACGGTAGCACGGTATTTGAGATTTTATCAGGACATTTGAAAGGCTACTGACTGTGAACAGAGGACGTCCTTTCCAATCCATTTCAATGGAGTTAAAAGGAATCAGGATTTGGTTTAGTTATATTTTTTTCAGGACGAAATTTATTTTAAGTATTTTATTATTTTTAATACTAAGCACGTCGGTCTGAACTTTAAAAAGTATGATACGTTTATAAGGTATTTCTCACGCCTGCCTTGCGTGCCTTCGTGGTGTAATGGTTCTGCACGCTGAACCGATATTCCAGAGGTCCGTGGTTCGATTCCCGGCGAAGGCGTTGTTAATTTTTCATCTCTCCGGCTTTTCCAAATTGCATCACGTCTCTACAGTGGCGCCCGGACTAAAAGAGTGTTGGATGATGCTTCTCATCGAGGATTTGGCAATTGGGTCCCCTAAAAACCCCAGTCGCCCTTTAAAAGGGGCAGTATATAAGGTATTTCTTCCGCCTTCCTAGCGTGCCTTCGTGGTGTAGTGTTTCTGCACACTGGTTCGGTATTCCAGAGGTCCGTGGTTCGATTCCCGGCGAAGGCGTTTGCTATTTTTCATATTTCCTGCTTCCAAAAATATACCTAATATCTCTACACGTTATATTTGCTCACAATTTGTACCAAATCTATTTGTTTTAACAGTCTACTCCAACGATTATCAACGGGTGTTTCGCGTACCACTGGTGGCACGCAAGAGAAAAATAGGTGGTACGCAAAGAAACAAAGTATTTTTAATTATTAAATTCAAAAAATCTCGTAAATAAACCGAAGATTTGATACACATTTCCTGTGATCGAACTCTAACTGAAGATTTCAAAAATAAAACAGTTCTGGACTTTCCGCTGAAGAGAAAAAAAATATTAAAGGCATTTCAAATAAAGCTATTGAATTTTTATTGCAATTTTGCACAAACTATTTGTGTGAACAAGGATTTTCTTCCATGTTATATTTGAAAAATAAATACAGAATAAAATTAAAGGTGGATCCTAATTTATGGTTAAAGCTAAGTGAAATAGGACCAGACATAAACAAACTGATCTCTCTTAGACAGGCACAGATTTTACATCAAATTTTAGAATTAAAGTATTACAACTTCAATTTTAATAATTAAAATAGTATCCAATTTTTAATCTGATATTTTTTATGTGTGCATATTTAATACAAATAGCCAATAAGTTGTGCAAATGGCAAAATACTCTTTTTTAATATTGCTATTCAGGAACTGAAAAATAATTATATTAAAACTATGGTGGTGGTACTATAGTTTTTTATAAAACTGATATCGGAGGAGTACGAAATCAAAATAAGACTTTTCTTACTGCAATACTAGGATTTATGCTCTTAGATATTGTATTATTTGCGAAAAGCATTTAATACAAGTGCTCATTGAACAAAGTGATTTTTCTTTCCTGAGTTCTTGTACGTTTATGCTCAATTTTACGTCGTAAACATTTCTAATTTAATTGATGTAACATTTCTAACTTCTGGACGTATTTTCCTACGCAGTACAAATGTATAAATTTTGCCATGGAAAGTAGAAATTTTCTGCGTTATGAAATACATTAACATCCCATAACTCGTCGTTTTACATTCTGTTAAATAATCTCCATGATGTTAGATATCGTATTATCTACGATAGGAATTTAGTACAAGTGCTGATAGACAAAATATTTTTTTTTCTTTCGTGAGCTCTTGTACATTTATGTTCCATTTTACGACGTAAACATTTCTAATTTAATTGACGCAGCATTTATAACTTTTAGATGTAAGTTTCTACGCAATTCAAATATGTAAAATTTGCCATGGAATTTGGAAATTCTCTGCATCATAAAATATGTCAACATTCCTTATCGCGCCGCTTTAGTTTCTCTTAAATACTCTACATACCGTTACATATCGTATTACTTACGAAAAGCATTTAATATAAATGCTCACAGACCAAATGGTGTTTTCTTTCCTGCGTTCTTGCACGTTTATATTCCGTTTTACGATGTGTTTCTAATTTAATTGACGTAACATTTCTAACTTCCAGACGTATTTTTCTACGCAATACAAATGTGTAAATTTTGCCATTGAAAGTGGACATTTTCTGCGTCATAAAATAATTTAACATCTCTTATCGCATTGCTTTAGATTCTATTAAATAATCTCCCATGAAGCAATACAAAAACATTACTCAAATACAGCTACTAGATTTTTATTGCATGTCAGAGACGGCAGTAATTGCGTGGTCAAATCACTGGGTGGGAAAATCGCTCAGCATGGGTATTATCATATGTTTCAGTCTTTTTTCACTGTTTTCTGTCTTTTTCAAGAGCTTTCATTTATTTCATCAACGGATTCCAGGTTTCATGGAAGGTGGTAAAATCCAAAGCTGCATCGTAAACGTGCTTGATGAAAGGGTGCCTGGATCGAAATAGCTGAAAGGAAAAAATATTTATAGTGCGCAACCGGTAAAGCCTCGTTTTACGTTTACTGATCTTTAGAGGAATGCTGTTATCCCAAGGTAAAATTGTTTTCGAATGATAGCACCTACCCGGGAATTGCATGATGCTGAAACGTTTAGAAGAGGCTATAAATGCCAAAGAAAAAGGATAAAAAAAATGAAAGCTGAAATCATTTAAAAATTTACAATACTTATAGAAAGAGGAACAAAATAAATGTTAAAATTTTGTATCAGATATTATTATTACCTGAATTATTATATTAATTAATATATTATCAAGTGATTAAAATTTTGAAATTGGGGAATATATTTCAAAACAGAGTGATTTTTTTCGAATTAATATATAATTAAAGAAAATTTAATGAGATTATATTAATATACAGCCTTCAATACATTCAAATGCACGGTACATTCTGAATCAAAAGCACATTAATTATCATAAACCTTTAACTTTATGGTAACAAATATGTAAAAAATACATATTATTGCTTCTGTTTGTATCCATATACATTTTTAGATGTTCTTTAAAAATGCAGCGCAGAAAAAAAAGTATTTTGATAAACTGTCTTCATTTAATAACAAAAAGAACCATTTGGAATAGATCTTTTAATTTAATTTTAATTTTAATTTATTTAAAGATGAACTCTTTAAATTTTACCATTTTACAGTTTTAAGAATATTTTTTTTCGCAGTTAAGCAGCACTTTTATTTTGCATTTCTCTTAGTTTTTGAAATTATCTTTCATATATACTGAAGTGTAAAGAATGTAAATGGAAATAGTGGATCATACTCAAGAATAAACTCGAGATCCTGAAAATGCGAAAATTATACAAATTAGCACAATATAATGCCAAAATGTTAAATTAAATATGTATCTCTAAATAGGATAACAATGATTTATTCAGAAGTGCATAATGAAACCTCTAGTCATTCAAGAATTCAAATCCTTTTATTTTATCTTGCAATACCTCATGTTACATATAACCTTTCTTTTTAAAAACAGCAAAATTTCGGAAATCCCCGTGAGTTTCAGGGAGGAAATGCAAATGAAAATTTACAATTCAAATTTAAAATGTAGTTTAGTAATACTAATTTGTAAAACTTTAATTCATAATTTCAAATTTCTTTCGTTAGTATACTCGTCCATTAGTTTGCTAACGTTTCGATGTGAATCATTTTCAAAGAACTTTATTCAATTTTCATGTACAATAGGTACAAATATTATCAAAATGTAAATACACTAAACTGAGACATTCACACCGATCTCCCAAGTTAAAATAAACTTACGCAACTTGAAAAATATTGCAATAATACAAAATGAAATACAATGTTTGAATTTGTGTTATGATTTACTGGGTGAACTACTATAAAGTAATAAAACGTAACTGTGATTTAATTGTAGAAGTATCAACAATACTTCTACAGTTAGAAGAACTTAGAAGTTTTAACGAAGTATTAACAATACTTCTACAGGTTATGAATACACATTCTTATATTTTTAAATTTTAAGTATCATATGTCACTTATTTCAAATTGGCGGCCCACAGACTGCATGTGGCTCCCGATGTAATTTTATTCGCCAGCGAAGGCATTTCAAATATGTACTTGTTACAAATGCGTTGCAGCAAAGAATTTAAGATTTTTAGTTATTTCAAGTTAGAGTTTACAATATTTCCATTATCATTAAGAGCGTACAGGAATAATGCACCAGAAAATATATAAATGGGGTTAATTAATTTACAGTGTGATATAAATCTTATTTAAAGATAATGATTTTATTAATTTTTTTCCTACTTGTCAAAAATTAAATTAACTTTTACGATTTTTTTCACTAACAACAATTGTTTTGTTTGGAAATACATTTATACGTGAACAACTTTTCTTCATAGCTGAAATGTTAAAGAAAAAGAATCCGGGTGATCTATGAGCATCTACAGTCAGTGATGTAGATATTTTTTTTCTTCTTTATTTTCTTACAAAGCTACAAACTTTAACAGAATCACAACAGCATCAAGCGTCAAGCTGTAGTAGGAAATAAAGAAGTTAAAGAAGTTTGTAATTATTTACATAAAAACGTATGTATGCGTAGAAGAAAGATTTAGTCAATTAGATAAGGACTAAGTTATAATTTTTTTTCCTCTCAAAATCTGTTCCGAGTAGAACATTTTATCAGATTTTTTAAAAAATTTTCATAATTTGTTTGTTTTTAGTTTAAATTAAAGTAAGCTATTTGATGATTAATTAAACAAGTTAGAACTATTTAAAATATACATTCCATCTGAAAATTTAGCTATTAATATATTTGAATAATAAAGTGTAACTAGCACAAATGTTTTATAGGTAACAAACTTTAGATTTAAGACAGCGAAAAAATAAATTTGAATTTGCCGCCCAGGCGGCACAGTGGTTAGGGGAGCCTACTGCGGTGCCGAAGGACCAAGGTTCGAATCCAGGAGAAGCCATGGATGTATGGAAATGTATAGTGTCTTTGTGGTATGGGGGCACTCTAAATATATGGCGAATCGAAAGTTCTCTCGATAGTTTGATTGTACGGGAAGAGGGGTGGGAGACAATCCGACCTGCCGCGGGAGTGTTCTCCATCAAGATTGGGGACGGGGGAACTGAGCGAAGTCGTACTGTAACCTATATAGTGCTCAAGGCTGTTGCCAACGATAGGCGCAATCTTGCTTTTCTTGCCACGAAAAATGCCGTGGCCGTGATATTACCATTAAACAAGCAAGATAAGTCACAATAAAACAACAACAATTTAAACTTTTTTCTTCGAGATATTACTGTTATTATTTTTATGTAAGTTTTAATAAATGTTTAGTAAACATATTTTTAAATTTATTAATTTTTTTTTTAATTTTGTTCATAAAATTTTTTTATTCAAGAAACAAAAATGGTCATCCATTCAGCTGATTTTAGATTGTGCATTCGACCTGCATACAATTCCAGGTTTTGAGGCCATTGGGTTGTACTACCTTAATGCATATCTAAGAAAATAATATACTTTAATTCTTTCAGTTCCAAGCCTACACTTCTGAAATAATCAAGCAGAAGCGTTATTTAATCTTTTATTCCACTCTAAAATTAATAGTGAACAGCTAATTTTAAAAAGCAAGTAAATAGCCGCCGCTAACTTGCTGTTATAAGCTAATATTTTAAAGAGTTATCTTTTGTTCATCTCTTGTAAGAAGTACGAATTTGTTCAAAGCAGAATATAAGAAGGAAATTTAAATCATTAAGTTCTACAGAATGCAGTGTGAATTATCTTATATGCCTGTCAGTAACATCAGAACAAGCCCACGAAATTCTTCACGACAAGGAGAGCAATATTGTGCCGGTCGTTGGGCAAAAGCCTTGAGCACCATACAGGTGTCACAACGACTTTGCTCAGTCTGCCCCCAATTTTGAAAGACAGCACCCCGGGGAAGGTGTCTAAGGGTACCCCACCCCTCTTTCCCTACCATCAACCTCTCGAGAGGACTTTCGATTCGCCTCATGTTTAGAAAGCCCCATGCTGCACAGACACTATACATTTACACGCATCCATGCCTTCTCTGAGAAACCCAGGCCCTTCAGAACTGCAGTTAGCGTTGCTTACAACTATCCCGGCTGGGCGGAAAGTAATGTGACTTAAAAACACTTATTTCCGTGAATCCAAAATAAAATATTTAAAGGACGTAGACTTTAAAAACAATAAATATTGAATTATTTTAAACCATTAGGCTTTGCTTACAATTCAAAAATGCATGGTTACTCATGCATAACGCCATAAAATAATGAAACAAAACTGCAGAGAGAAGAGCAGACTTTTTAACTGATACACCTATCTTTAATTTTCCATTAATAGTACAGTAGACAAATTTTAGCCACAGATAAATGTTCCACTTTACCACTTTTCCAAACTGAAATTTGTCCTTTATCTTGCGAACGGAACTTAAGCAACTATTACAGAACTCATTGTTCAAATTTTATATTACTGATATTTTTGTAAATAACCAGCTTGCAGCCTTTGGCAGACAAGCATTTCTAATCTCAGATTCCATTATTTAAACGAAAGAGACGTTTACAAGTTTTTAGTTCTATTTCTATCATCTTCTGCTAATAATTGCGAATGCTGGTTTCATATCTGAGAAATATCTGTAGCTGCTTTCAGTAACTTCACAACGTAATAGACTTCATACCAATTTATAAAACATTGTTGTAATAGTGCGTATATTACAAGAAATATGAAAGCTAGACGTCAAAAGTGCAAGTTAATGCGCATCATTCTTATTTCTGACTTAATTAAAATACGAATCAGAATCCTAAGCCTGAATTAACATCCTTCACCCTCATCCATTAGCTCAAAATATTTATTACCTATTAAGTCTGACATGCATTTTAAATGAGCTGTCCCGCCAAACTATTTTAAATGAGACTTTACTTAAATGATATTGTTGAAGTAATAACAGGTCTAAGCTGCTCATCAGTATTTCAAAGAGCACACGGCGAAACGAAAGATGCGTTTTCATTAGCTTACCAAAAAATTTAAAAGCTTCGGCAGAATCTTAATTTGAATCTTCTAGAGAACAGAATCCTAACTTGAAAATCTTTCTTGCTGCATTTTAATATCTTATTTGGGTCAATTTAATATCTTTGCACAAATATTTGTTGTGTAAATTATCGCAACTCATTAATCCTGGTTTACTTGCCAACTTTGTTTTCCGTGGCTTGTTGCCAAGATGCCTAAGCAATTTGAATTCTGAATTATTTTACTAATGTTCGCGAAAAGGAAGTAAAGAAGAGATCGTGACGAAATGAACAAATCCCTTGAAGATCGATGTGGAATAAGTGCATCTGGTATTTAGAAGTACTTAGAGAACTAAAAAAGGAGAAAGTCCTTCTTACTTAAATGCTAACTTAATTCACGTGTTTTATTCTTAGTCAGAGAGGTTAAAACTCAACACACTGAAAACAGTTGATTAACATTCAGAAATTTCTCTTCATCTTGAAATGAAGCAGACTTGTCTGTTCAGTGAATGGTGAAGATAACAGTTTTTTGAATAATTCCCTAGATCTACAATAATTTTTGCTATTGGAGAAACACATTTCAAATAACGATGATAAATATAAGATTATTTTTCTCGTAGGAGCAACATTATCTCCAATGTGAATGGTTAACGTAATTTTAGAGAGTTTATTTCATAATC